TGTACTACGTTTTACCAAATTTCGCACTTATAACAAGCATAGTAAGGAGTTTTAAAATCGCAATCAAATTTGAGAAAAAAAGTTTCGTTCCCATGGATACGGCGGCCATATGTTGAAATGTATTATGTAATGAACACCGCACTTATTTTTCATGGGAATTGATTTTTTTTTTTGCATGCATTTTAGTAGACATTAGATCTAAAAATGTGTCTGTTTGTTTTTTTTCCTGAACGAACCAAAAACTTTTTAATGAATGTTTCCCTGAGGTAGTATTCAGGTTTGTGAAAAAACAGTAAAACACCACACTTCGGACACCACCTAAAAAATCTTTTTTATGTATCAAAAATTCAACAACAAAATTTTTAGTATTACATCTTCTCCTCATTGTGTGAAAATTTCATGAAGATTGGATACAAAAATGGTGGAGTTATTTTAGAAAGTTGAGAGAAAAATCGCGTTTTCAGAAAACGTCCGATAAAAAATAAAAATATATTGACTTTATGACAAAATGATGGGGACAAACATGCCCGGTATGGGGGAAATATGGCTTTTAGGGGTTCTTATGCAATGGAATAGTTGTAGGAGAGGCTGAGGAAGCTAAAAATGCTTACCACTCAAATTCAGAAAATAAAATAGATTGGTCACCTGTTACGAATGCTGCCAAGCCAGCCAGCATCGAGAGCCTATAACACCAAGCACAAGCACTCGAGCTAGGAAAGAAGAGGAAAGTCATGGGAAAAGTTGGTAGAGGAAATCAAGGAAACCATGAGAAATTATAATATCCCAATTGAAAACCTGCAGAGCTGGCCTGCAATAGAAAATCTCCACTCGACGCTTAACGGCAAAAGCGGATGAAAAGGTAAAAGTAAAGTAAGTAATGTTGTCAATCGATCAGCAAGAAATGACACGACGAAGACGCACTATCATTGTGAAAAAAATAGAGAAGAAAGCTGATTTTAATTGTTTTTCTCTGACAATATTTTATCTTTTTCATGCCTCGAATTAGAGTAAATCTTTGTGCCATAAAATCAGTTCGTGAAAAGTTATGCTAATGCGCACAAAGAAAAGGGTATTCTCCAGGTATGAAACGCTCGTAAATGTAGACTGTTTCGTTTGTTAGAGTAACCTTCGGATATATTTACTTCTGTACCTTTCTGTCTATCGTCCATATAACATACTGTATCAAGGAAGATTTGTTTAGTTTTAGTAGAGGTTTGATGGCGCTCGCAACTGCATAAGGTCATATGAGCGCAAGGAAGATTTGCCCTAAATAAAAGTAATTAGAAATGTAAACGTCAATCTTTTAAGCGTCTTAATCTGGCTAAGCGTGTCATTATTAAAATTTTGATACGATCAATATAACTGATAGTTTCATTTTGTTTTGCTTTGTTCGCATAGTGAATTAGTAGCTTGTACATCTATGACAAGGAAAAAGTATACTAGGAAAAACATCAAAGTTATTCTCTGACTAAATTATTAAATGGACCGACTTGTCTATCTATTTGTAGATCTTCGAAATATACATAACACACACACACACACAC